TGGGATCGAACCACAGCCTGCACTTGGCCGCTTGTGGAGTAAAACTGAGCTTGCCTGCTGGCCATGTTTTACGAATAGCCAAAGAAGTCGTCTTGCAAGAGGAACAATACCCACAGTCTCATAGGACCAATACAGACAGGCAATGGAAAAAAACTACGACACTGACATAGAGCTCGCTCCCGGAAATTAAACGAGAATATAAGGTCATGTTTAGGAAGTAAGCACAAGACTTCGTGACCATTATCCGCTATTGTTTGAATATTTCGATTCAGGCGAAACATTGCAATATTGCGATATTTCGATTGCAACTATTGTTGCAATTGATGCAAGTGTGTCCTAGATATCTTATCTTGCTCTGCGAGTTCAGCTTCTAGAGGAAAAAAGTGCTGCTCTCGAGATACCTGTCTCCCAACTCGTAGGGAAGAATGATGACTTAGAAAATCGTTCTCGTAAAAGTAACTTGGTGGTGTATGGCTTAATAGAACCCCAGAACGAATCCCCTGCGCCTTTACTTGAGAGCGTATCTACACTGCTGTTTCCAAATATGTCTGTCTATTGGGATGGCATAGAACGCTGTCATCGTTTTGGATTAGTTCGAGAGGGCAGAATCAGACCTGTAATATTTAAGTTGATTGATTTTCAAGACGAAATGCATATCCTCAAAACGCTCACAAACTTAAAGGCACTCAAATAATTATCAACGAAAATTTCTCGCCACATATTCAAAATATTCGAAAAAGTTTTAATCCGGCACCCCCGCGCTTAGAGGGACGGGGCTAGGGTTAGCCTGCGTTACGACCATATTCTTGTTGATAACGTCCGGTACTCATGGAATACTACGAATAACAAACCTGTGAAAGTACCTCACCCGGTCCAGCCCGAACATGCAAATTGACACGTAGCGAATGAACCGTTTTTCATTATTAAACATCAATGCTAGAGGCCTCTGGCCACAAGCCTTGTACCTTCATACTCACCGCACGTAATATACGTTACCGAAACTTGGTTACATGGTGGCACTTTTGACTGTGAATTCAGCCCTCCTAATTACAGTTTGGTACGCATTGATAGACCCTGTAGCGGCGGTGGTGTTGCGTTATTTTTTAAAACTGGTCTTAAGTATTCTGTTCTTCCGAGCTTACCTGACATTGAATCCTTGTGGTGTAAAGCGCGGCTTGCTAAGTTCGTTCTCGTTTTCGGTGCCGTTTATAGAACTCCTGGCTCTTCCCTTCAAGCTATTTAGGACGTTTATGATTACATACAAAAATATAATTTAGCGAGTTCCAAACTCGTATTACTGGGTGATTTCAATTCACCAGATATTAGCTGGGAAACAATTGTGGTTGGTTCTCGAGAACGGGTCATCTGTGATGCTCTTGCAGACATGACTGTGTCATTTCATTTAGATCAGATTGTAAAAACGCATACCAGAGAAAATTCTATTCTAGATCTTGTTTTCTTAGTCATGGTGTGACACAATCGGGCTACAATTGCGAAGTAATTGAGGAAATTTCAGATCGTAAAGCAGAACTATCTACGCTCAATTTTCATACCAATCATGTGAGTGCTAAAATCGTCACGGTCTTCGACTTCAACAGGGCTGACGATGCATCTATAATTGACGAGCTGAGTTTTTGTTTCGGTTATTTTTGTGCTATAAGTGCGGACTCTGATGTTACCACGCTGCTTAATCATTTTAATTATCTTCTAGATAGATGTATAAATAATTTTGTACCCGTTTGTAAAAAAGAAATATCCGGCACAGCCTTGGATTACAAGAGATCTCTTGTAGATAATGCGGAGAATGAAAAAAAAAACGCTCTTCGAAACAGAATGAAACTCCTGCTGATAAAGCTCTGTTTGAAAATCTAGAAAAACACTTTGAAAGAAAAGAAGTTGGAAGCTAAAACGAAATATTTTACCATAGGATATACCTCTAAATTCTGGAGGTCTCTCCTTCCAAAATCTGACAATTTCCGAAGTTTTACTATCGAGGGTGAATGTGCTAACGAACCAGTGGTGATTGCCAACTGCTTCAACGACTAATTTAGATCAGTATTTAGTCATGATAATGGCGATATTTCGCACTTCACTTTTAATAGCGCTTGCCCAGCCTTATTTGATGCTGAGATAAGTACACCTGGTATTTTTAATCTACTTTGAAAAATGAATTACAAGAAGAGCCCTGGTCCTGATGGAATTCTCAATTTTTTTTTCTCCGCCGGTATTCACTTTGGACGTCCAAATACCTGTCTGTAATTTTCGAGAAATTAATCACCACTGCAACAATACCACGAATATGGAAGTCAGCTAAAACAATCCTGTTATTTAAATCGGGTAACACGCAGGTGGTTGTGGGCAGAGAACTGCTAATACAGTTCTCTGCCCACAACGACATGGTTCTCGTTGTGGCCACTCTAGCTCTTCTCAACTTCTTGAGTTCACTCATCACATTGCTTTTTCTTTAGATAAAAGGAGACAACTAGACGCCATTTGTATTGATTACTCAAAAGCCTTCGACAAAGTACAACATTCTAAGCTACCTCAAACACTGCAGACACTAATTAAAAACGAAGCACTAATAAATTGGAGTGATGATTATTTGAAAGATTTATCTCAGTTCGTCTCCTATAGTAATACTTGTTCTAGCAATGTCGCAGTTAGCTCCAGCGTCCCACAGGGATTTGTTTTAGGATCCCTCTTATTCTTACTCTACATAAATGATGTCGTGAACCATCTTCTTGTTAAAATTCTCCTTTATGCCGATGATTGTGTTTTATACAACGAGATCAATTCAGAACAGAATCACAACATGCTAAATGACTCATTTTCACAATTTCTTGGTTGGAGGGAGAAGTGGCAGATCAAGATCAACTTTTCTAAACTGCGTTTATGTCATTCACCAACAAAAAGATGCTGAAAAACTTTTGGCATTGGTAATAAGATCCTGCGTCAGGTTTATGAATATAAGTACTTAGAAACTTTATTTACCGTATCTCTTAAATGGGAAAGTCACATCAGTTCCATTTGTTCTCGTGCCCTTCAAAAACTGGGATATGTTAAAAGAACTTTGGAATCGTCAACTAAAGAAGTTAAAATAACCGCGTATAGGACATTATTTCGACCTATTTTGGTATATAACTGAGTAGTCAGGGACCCGCATTTTAAGGGTGACATTAAGCTGGTTGATACAATACTGACTGAGGCTATCACATTTATTTCTAACCGTTCTGACCGGAAGTTTTCCCCCACTTCATTCATGACTGATGTAAGACTTGGCTTCTAGACACAAGGTTGAACGTCTTAAGCTCCTACATAATGTAGCTAATAATTACAGCGTACTTAATGGTAATAAATATATACATTTTACTACTCAATCACGCACTCGTAGTTCTCATCCCTTGAAAATTGTACATGTCAATGTCACCTTGCGTGTTTTAAATCTCTTTCTTTCCTAGAAGTATTGAAAGCTGGAACAGTATTGATGGTACGACTCGTTCACTTGCTTTTGATAAATTTTCGGATGCACTTTAGGTCGTTTTGTGCATACTAATTATAACCCTCCTATTTTAGTTATTGTTGTGTCTTTTTAGGGTGTGTTACATTACCTATGACGCTCCCTGTGTGTGTGTGTTTAAGTGCAATGTATATGTGATTCCCACTCCTGCAATGATTTTTCTTAAGGCCGCAGTACTTTGAAATAAATAAATAAAAATTATTTTATACTTTTCTATAAAAATAAAGAAAATGAAATTTCTAGAGTGTATAGTGGTCTAAAGTAAGTAAACAAAACCTCCTCTGGCGCTAAATAAACACAGTCCTGATTTTTGAGTGTTCAAATCTTTGCATAATGTTGCAGGATTTAGTAAATTAGACTAGTTATTGAGGCGTCTGCTCTCCCATCTTCAGTCACTGAAAAGAAGAAATTTTAGACACCCGTTTTTTTTATTTAAAAAAAAAATGGAAGCCATTTACCTGTAACCATTTACCTGTAACGCCGAATTAGAGCGCAGCTCTTAAGGAACAGGGGGAAAGGGTACTCATGGTCACGTGCTCTTGGGGGGGAGGGGTCACGTGATTTCAGGGGAGTCACGTGACCTTGGGGATCACGTGACCTGGGGAGGGGACACGTGACCTTGGGGGTGACGTGACCTGGGGGTCACGTGACCTAGGGGAGTGGTCACGTGACCTTGGTGACCTCGGCGGGGGCGTCACGTGACATGGGGGGTCACGTGATCTCGGGGGGGGGGGAGGGGGGTAACGTGACCCCCCCTCCCCGTTTTCACCGGAGGTACCCGAGGACCTCCCGAGGTCCTTCCGAAGGAACCCGAGGTCCTTCCGAGGTCCTCCCGAAGGAAGCCAAGGTTCTCCCGAGGTCCTCTCGAAGGAATCCAAGGTCCTCCCGAAGTCCTCCCGAAGGAACTCGAGGTCTCTCGAGGTCCTCCCGAAGGAACCCGAGGTCCTCCCGAAGGAACCCGAGGTCCTCCCGAAAGAACCCGAGGTCCTCCCGAAGGAGCCCGAGGTCCTCCCGAAGGAGTTTGTGATCCTTCGGGAGGACCTTAAGTTCCCTCGGGAACATTTACCTATAATGCACCGCGCGGTTACGGCGACGGCGACGGCGACGGCGACGCCGACGCCGCTCAAGCCCGAAACGGGCGCCTAAGAGCTGCGCTCTAAAAAAACTGTGTGCAGAAAATTTTAAGGAGCCAGACCTCGTTAACCATAGTCAGCATGAAGCTGTGCATTGAAAAGTTGTGACTAAATAAGCTTTTTGCGCCAGCTACAGCCATTCTTGTAAAAGAAAATAAAGCGATAAGTCATTCGGTCATTCATTCATAAGACGAACTAAATAAAACTGTAGGAATGTTTCCGCGTGCTCTCATGTATTTGGTCTTTGGATGTTGACTTATATAATTAACATCTTCAGTGATTCTCCTGAAGTGAAAATAACAAAGGTTACACTTGTTGTAGTATTAAAACATAAATTTCTTTTCAGAAATATGATCGTCCTGAAAAAGCTGCTACAAGCTGGCACTGCCGGCTTTAAATGTGGCAGTTGCAGACCGAGGGCTTTTTCATCGAAGACAAGGTTAGGATACTCCAATTTATTGCATTGTTGTAAACAAGCATGGTAAGCGTGCAAGGTCAAAATCCCGCTCTGCAGATCAAAGAGCCGAGGCCTGAGGAACATGTCTACTGTCAAACAGGTGTCAGATGTGCGCATCGCCCATAATGTAGTCACAGGCATGTTGTGCCAAGAGCCTTAATATCAGTAAAAATTCGTTTGATATTGGGAATGACCGCTTGTTAAGGGCAGATCTGGTTCCTCCTGAGGTGTCTTCAATAGGGCGAGGACGGAACGAATCGAATATATTTTTGATGATACTGGATTCAAATGTTCATTGTTAGAATTGTGGTTAACAAACCATGACGATGTAATTTTTATAACAAAAATTTGGACTACGGCATCACACACGCGATGAAGAGCTGAGGTCCACAACAAGATCAAACATTCTAGCGCGTCTGGCTTGTTTAGGAATTCACCTTCTTTCTCTCTCGTCTGAATAGGCTAATTAGTTTTAATCTGGACGGTGCTACATGGTGGTCTACCACCCATTTAACGGCAAGTAAACAACACAAACATCCCTTGAGTCCCCAACAAAGATAACGGTATCCAACATTTTAAAAACTACGCGCTCGAGGTTTTTAGGCAGAGAACGTGCGCTAACATCCCGAGCGCTGGCGCAATATCTGGCTTGAAAGCCTGCCATGTTCACTGATCTAGATCCTTACCAGGACACGCATTTATGAGGAGCAGTGGCCAAAATGGTGTATTGCCTCGCCAAGGAAACCCCGAAGGGTCCAAAACTAGCCCGGACTCAGCTCAACCACCATGATACCCTTTTCCCCGTACACAAGCATGCGAAAAACAGCCAGGCGTTTGTGGGTGAAGCCACATGGCTTTGGTAGGCTTGAAGGCGTTATTGAAAAAAAATTAACCTATCACAATTGCAAGTAATTTTTTGAAAAAATTCAACTGGTTATAGTAATCAATTACTGCTTCCCGAAATTAATTGAGAGATTATCAGATATCAATTTATTCATTTTCACGTCACTTTTGTTTTACTTTTTATTGCGAAATTAAAAGAAAAGTGCATACATACGTTCGAAGTGGCTACATTTGCACAGATGATTAGGAACTATCGAAGACTAGTGAAGATTTTCGAGTTTATAACACCAAAGAGATCAGGCGACTTCTTCGCGAGCGCATTGGGAGCAAAATAAGCTTTTCTTAATGGGATTTCTGAATTCCTTTAATAAGAAAGATAAACACAAAACGAGGGAAATAGTGAGAGACGGCAGCTTAATAAAAAGCCAGATGCTTAAATAGTGGAAACCCCAATCTTTTAGCAACAAAATCCTAGATTAGATACCCTTCGTTTCTTATTGCGTTTCATGCAAGTGCGTGGTGGTGAACTCTTTCGAGATGGACTGGGAAGGGGGGAGTAGGGGGGGGGGGTCTTTGTCATAGATACAGGAAGTCGGTGCAGAATGCAGTCGTTTATGCCGCGGCACACCCGAATCGTAAAAATGCGTACACACAAGGCGACGCCCTCTCGTCAGTTCGGCTGTTAAAACATTGAGAAAGATAGGATTTAACCTCCTAATTGTTCCCTTTCAGGAATTACAGTTCGGACACCTTGGCAAGCATGGAAACCCAGGCCCTGAGAGATACTTACAAAACAAAATTTCTGGCACAGAGTTATATGGATATGTATGGCCATTATCCCCCAGAAGCTGTTGTTCCTGCAGCACGACAACTTCGGGGCATATTCCACTCGGGTAAATTATGCTTAATGTTCGAAATGTTTCTTTATGTTTTAGAGTTGTACCCACCGAGATTACCGATCAAGGAGCACGTAGGTTTGCTGGCTATGTTCGGTAAATGTATCCGCACTTTATGTTCGTGATGTAAGGCACGTATATACTCCAAGGTAGCGTGCTCTGCATGGCGATGTCACGTCGATGAAGAGCGGACGCTCTGTCATCACCGGAGCGGTGCAGGTGACGGATGTCGATTTGTTTTTCTTTTTGTTTCCTGACAGCGCTGATTAATCTAAGCATGTTCAATAAGTTGAACAAGGCATTTTATTCTTCCATTGTACATTGTCGAATAAGTTATCGGGGGCAGAGCAGTGAATCGAATAATACACACCATAGCGAATAATGTGGGTATATAAAGACTTGGTGCTGGTTGTTCCTAAAGATCGCGTTAATTTCGGGAAAACACACATGCGGCCTCTGCTAATTAAGCTATTAAAACTCACCTATTTTTTTTTCTCGACGGCGAGATGGTTGCGGCAGCACTTTATCTGGGTGTAAAAATTTCCAGAGAACTATGTATTCGCTAATACGACTAGATTTGGAAGGGAATTCAACTATTCGATCGAGGTCGTGGGGATTGGAGGGCGCGCTTTTGGGGTAAGGAGGTGAAGGAAGCGTCTAGCGTTTACAATCACTCCAAACGTATCCGTCTTTCTCGCCGCGACAATCAACGCCGGCTTGTAAAACCGCTAGCATGTGCAGTCGGAACGAATACGCACAGAGAGTTACGTTAGCGGAAGCAGCAGGAGGTTCCGTCTATGCGGAAAGCATGTCGTCTGCTTCTTGCGCACGAGTTCCGGTGACGTCAGTACGATCCCGAGCTCGGGTTGGTTTTTGTTGGAAGGATAGTGGGTAGACATGGCCGACGTTCGTAGATGCGTTTAGGTCTACCCACTATTTTCAATCAGCCTCTAAGTGCTCGGTGTCGTTCTGACATCACTGCAATTCCTGCTCAAGGAGCAGACGACTTTCTCTCCGCATTGCATTATAAATGCTTCCCATGGTCTGCGTTGCTCCTTCTTTCAAACCTATGTTTTCTAGTCAACAGCAACTTTAGTACCTAATCTCGCCATGCCGCAAATGTTAACGCATTCACCCCTTTTTGTATTGGACGAGATGTTTAGTATTCCACTTGCGCATAACTGGTACATGAATTGACCATGTGTGACGCACTCGTCCAAACAAACCGTAGCTAGAGGCATAGTTATGGACGAAGAGAAAAAAGTGGATTTTGCTCCCAGAAAAAACTAACAAAAAAAAAACAACGATAGTTTGAAATTTGGAGGTGAAATTTAAACGTCTGAAAACAAGGATACAGCAAGCCTTAATTTCACACTTATTATGAGGGGAAGCTTACCGAGTATGGAGTAGTTCTTAAATATTTGTGATGGTAACTTACAGGGCTCAAAATATCTCACGATATGCCTGCGGCAGACTTTGCACGCACGCGAAATGACTGAAGTATGTCGTCTGAAACAGTTTTTATTGTTTCCATAAGGATATGATTTTGGTATTTACTGTGAAAATGGCATGTATAAAAAACTTATCAGGGTTATAAAAAAGAATTGAATTTGCGTGCGGTACGTTATACAGTCCGAAGGAAAAGATAACAGGTGTAGAGATCTGCTAAAGAGATGGCGAGAAAAGCATCTGTTTAGTATATAATATCAAAGCAGCGCTAGGCTCTCTTTTTGAGTTTGAAATAAGCGTGATTGTTAATGGAGGAGCAATTATTTGACTATGACATATCGGTTTCGTTCAAGACCACAATTTTTGTTTTGCAGGCTTGCAATATATGTTTGTGTTTTGTACCGGCATGTAACAATTACACTGAAGAACAAAATTACTGCAGTTTCTTCCGTTTTCAGCAAGATCCCAAATAGCGAAAGAGCTGGTTAGAAACACCAGATAAGTTTAGATGTTTGCAATAGTTTGTACCATCACAGAAATGTGCGTTGCAGCATCATTTGCGCCCTTATAACGTCTTGGAACGTATGCTAGCCTGCACTTCCGCGTACACTTAACGTTGTCGTCGTAAGTGATTATAATTACAACACAATGTTAAGTTGGGCTAGTTGGTTGTTCATGAATAGAAGAAAGCACCGAACGACAGGGACAAAATAAGTAGGTAACGACGGCACCTGGCGCCCTCGCAACTGAAGGTTTATTGGAAAAAAACACAAAAAGGACCCGTTGTACTAGAAATGAAGTATTTTTTTCCAATAAACCTTCAGTTCCGAGTGCGCTACGTGTCGTCATTACCTGCTTCTTTTGTCCCTCTCGTTTGGTTCCGTTTCACATTGTTCTGACCATTCTCAAACATAGCGGTAGCCTCTACGGACACCCACTCGCACCATCCAGCACCTCGAACGTCAATCAAACCTGCGCACGAGCGGTCTTCGCTTCCCAAGTACCACAGAACGTTGAACTCGAGAATAGAAATTTTGTTGGTCATCACCAACTTAATTTAGCGCTGTCGCACGTACTTCATGAGGAATTACTACTGTACTGATTGTACCCATGAAGCCACCATGTTGTCTGCTATGTAGGCAAATCCAACTGTAAAACTTTATGACGGGTTCTTTTCATCGCTATACGGCACTGGAACAAAGTGTTCATGATTAAATATGAAGAATACACTATGGTACCCAGAAATGAATCACTTCGTTATAGGACAAATTATAACCTCGTGTCAATCCTCCTTGTATTTGACCCTAACGATAGCCCTAGCAACGTCCTGTTTGGAGCGCAGTGCCATGTTGTGACGTCATTACTAACGGGTTCAATTGTGAGTGCGACATGCGGCGCGTTTGTGAACTGGGTGCTTTTTTAGGGTGCTTTTTTAGACTGTAGGATAAAAAAGCTTAATGTGCATTTGTTGAAAATGAAGCAAGGTCCATATAAAAGTCTAATATGCTTTCGATAGATTTGGTTCAGGGCGAGATTTTGCTGGAAGTGGGCAGCGGTCCCATGGTCTGGTGCTCGCTCGTAGCCTCCAGTCGATTCAAGCACATCGTGCTGAGCGACATAGCCGAATGCAACAGGCTCGAGCTCGAGAAGTGGCTGAACAAGAATAAAGATGCCATCGACTGGACCACTCGTGCCGAGGAGATTGCTGACTTGGAAGGTTATAGGTTAGTATGGGCATAATGAATACCTCAGTAGTGTATCTTACTCATTCACTTGGTTTTTTCCCGATTTTTGTCCTCCTCGCGGTGGTCTTTGTTTGCTGCGTTGCTTTCGTCGTCGTCATTATATTTTATCGCAAAAAGGTCATTCCATGTAAAACGCTCCTTGCATTGCGCTCAAGCATTTCTGATTTAAAAGAAAAAAAGATTTTTGCCAACGTTCCTTAACCTTTTCATAGAATATCTTTGATGGCCTTTTTTATGGCGTGAGCGCGGATTGAACTTTTGAAACGAGCATAAGACTAGGTATCATTCAATTATTTGGTAAGAAATAGATTTTCTTCAAAACGCTCCACAATTTATTTATGTACGCATTTATGTATTTTATGTGCAACAAGTAACTCTTCTTCAAAATTAGTTTTTGTTAATTTTTACCTAGACCACCTCAGGGTAGAACAAGCAACTCTTTATGCAGTCAAAGGAACTTCTTCACGTTTATCAGTTACATGTTTTGTTTTACGGCTTCAAACATTTTTCGTTTGTAATACAGCTACAGGAATTTCAATAAAGAGTTAAAACTGTCAGACGCAAAGCGATAATTAAACAAAAGTTAAGAAAATTGCTAATTCCAATGCGTTGTGTTGGATTTTTTTAACAAAGAAATTCCATGCTCATTAAAACATAGCTAGTTCAATGCTGTTCAAATTACATGAAGTGAATTTTAGTCTAAAAAATACTTTGATTTCTATTAAATTAAAAAATTACGGCTAAATTTATGCCAATTTTTTTTAAGTTGAAACCGCGCTCACGCCATAAACAAAAGTGCACAAACATTTTAGGAAAAGGTTAACAATCTTGGTGTAACCCGCCATGAAAGTTCTTTTAAAAGTCAAAATGGTCGGTCGCAACGTCTGGAATGTTTGACATTGAATGACTTTAAAGCCACTTCAAATTTCCCATCTATCATAAGTAGTCCCTCCTCGGATATAATACTAAAACATTTAGAATAATATTGTCACAAAGAACAATTGATGAGGCGGTGATAACTGAAGAAACTAAACGTTTAATGGGGCGAACTTGTGCCCAAAACAAAAAAGGGAAGGGAAGAAAACAGCAGAGCTTCGCGGGCGTCGATGTCGGCGAAATCGCAGGATCGAGCGCTCGGGCGAGACAGACCTTGGCTCACCACGCGAAACATCTTTTGTACACGCGTGGGCTTCTGGAATAATCGGCGTAGAGAGTTCGACGTGTAGAACATTCGACCCTCGAACAAGCAACAGGATTCGCGAATTTCCCAGAACACTAAATTGCAGGAATAAACAAAATACACGTTGCTCCCAGGAATCGAACCCTGGCTTTTCGCGTGGGAGGCAGGTGCGATAACCGTTAGGCCACACGCGCGCTGCCTGCTTGACCAGCTGCGCGCGCCTCAATATCGTCTCCACCATGAAACTCGTACCGAAATCATTATTCGTTTGGTTGCGGTTACAATTACTATGAGAATTAAATCACACCTGCACAGACAGCATTAGTGAACCTTCGACGGCTTTTTTTAACATAAATTTGCTCGGATTAAAACTGAACACCATGTATATATATTTTCTATTAAACGGTGTCAAATAATTTTAAGATTGAAAAATAAGCCGGCGAGCAGAAATTGGGGTGACTCAGTTACGACAATTCCTAATGTACTAATCACTTCTGATTGGTCACGACATTCATATATTTTGACCTGCAGGGCACTTGTACTCCATATTTATTGGAAAGATTTCGGTACAATGAAACAGGCTAAACGCGATGTAAATAAAAAAAAAAAAAAAACTCTAGAAACAGTCACTCATGAAAAAAAAGGAAATCTTCGGGTTTCGGTGGTTAGAAAATTTTCTTGTAAAAAATCCTATCATCCCACTGGGTTCTTTCAAGCACTTTCTAAATACTTATTTTGTTTCCTTTAGGAAATAATGTAGCCTCATTTAAATATTTGTATACATCAGATGTCACGTATCATGAATTGTCAAGTCAAACTAAAGTATTCCGATTTTTTCGGCGCCAACATGCCGACAACATTTCTCACTTCTAAAATCTATTGCGATTTGCAGTAAAAATGCCGAAACAAGCTCACTGAAATCTGATTGCGATCACAGCCCCATAAATTTGAAGACCGCTAAGTTTCTATCTTAGGCTTTATCATCTATTCAATAGGCCTATATGGAATAGCAATTGCGGTATCGGCTCGTGCTATCTACCTGTGTGGCGCGTGCAATAGACTTTTGCCGCGATGGTTTGTTGGCAGGTAAAATCGCGGTCCTGGAGCAGGATGAAAAGGACTATTCCTACTGTGACGACCCAGTAGGAATAGGTCCTGAAACGCCAACTACATTTACTCGCAGCCCCGGAAAATCGTGGCTCGATCGCCAGAAAATGCAACCAATGTCCCCAAACAACGTGGCCAAACGGTCAACCAAGCCTAGCGATCAAGCTGTATTCGAGCCACTCCCTCTTCCGCAGACACCTCGATAGGCAAAAGCTGTCATTTGAAAAAAAAAAAAGTAGATTAATACAGCGGCGATTATTCGGGTTCGCAATCGTCAATAATTAGTTCGATGGCACACGACCTCGAAGTCTAACAGCGCTCGACCAAAGGGTTTGGATGTCATCTACAGTATGTCCCGTAAAAGAATTAGAGCTTTTTTCTTTTTGTTGTTGTTGTTCTTTAACCCCCCCCCCCCGCCCCCTTCCCCCCCCCCCCCCCCCAAAAAAAATGAAAACAAAACACTACGGATGGCCGAATCATTATTCGACGCCCACAATGTAGTGCTAAAGGCCCGAACTAAATATTAAAGTTTCAGAGATAACGGTTAGGTTAGTAGATTTTCTTAGTTTAGTTTTCTTAGTATAGGTTAGTGGACTTTCTGTAAAGTTCACTTGGAAGGTAAGGCCCATTTTCGCCTCTTTTCGGCAAATGGCGATACTCGGCTTTGTGTAATCCGGACCGGCGTCGGCCGCTATTTTTCCTTGATTATTTAAAAAAAAAATAATACTTATATCTTACGGATAAAATATTGGTTATTTCTGAAACTGTGGCCCCTGGTTTGGACGGCTAGGCCTATATTTTGCGGAGATTGGGCGTTCGCTCAAGTGTAGTTCATTTCTGAAGTGAAAATAACCATGTAAATACTTTTTTGGAGGGACATCTTCTTCAATGGAGACCAGAGACGACAAGGGAACACACAATTTGGTTTTTCCTACGTGTACAATTTTTTTCGCGTTTTTTTTAAAATGACGATTAGTACTAGAAGTGAAGAGCACACCTCGCATACTTTACTCTTCATTAGCTGCGGCTGAATAGAATTAGCAATATTTATAAACTCGTTTTATAGTTCCTGACTGCTCTTAGTTCAATTCATCTGAGTCTTACGGAACTATCCTTTTACGCACACTCACCGCTTCAGTGGCGCGCACAGAAACGGTTGTCCCGCAACTGTATCGTAACGAACTGAGCAAGTAAGAATCCATGTGGAGGACAGCTGGCCGAGTTCCACCACAACTCCGCCTAAATAAAACATTGCGCAAAACCTTGCCAAATAAGCTTCTCTAGTTGCTAGGAGCATGAGAACGACGAGGCGTGCCCTTCGAATGCCCGGCGTCCAGCACGCCCTCCATGCCTTCCGCCCTGCTTTGTGTACGCACGCACGCTTGTGGTGCACGAGACACGGAAGCGATATCGAAGTCAGGTAGCTCGCGCTGGACCCTGACACCTAACGCTCTTCCCGGTCGTTTCCTCCCTGTCAGTGACTAAGGTACCCATACTTTTCGCCGTCTCAGAAACAACACGTGCTATTCTCAGTGATGGGATTGGTCCGAGTCATTTTGGAGCGCCTTCTGGAGCAGCTCAAATTAATTTTGGAGCAGCAATATTAATTTTTTGGACAAATGCTTACGCATAGTTTTCATTCCTATCGCTAAGAATAGTACACATTGAGATTCGTGTGTTGCCTTGTTCATCAAAATACTTGAATGTAAATATATTCGACATAGATATGTCTGGTTAGAAAATAAATAGACTGACTGAAAAAAATTGTAACTGAAAAAAAAGTTAAACTGGGTTGGGTGAAAGTGAATTCACCCGACCCGTAGTCACCCGAAATTAAGGGATGAAGTTCTTACCGAAACGTAGATTATTTTGTTTTTATTCAAACCTGCTTAGAGTTTAATTTTTTTTCAGTCAGTATGTCAAAATACATTGTCTACTCTGCCTTCCCAATTCCGTTCAACCTTTCGTCATCATCTATACACCATTTGCGATATCTCCCAAGTGCCCCGGCCCGCGCTAAAAGAATCATGGGAGCGGTGTTCCTTCAGCCCTTTAGTGATCGGTAATTTCAACCCTATTCTTGGTGACGCAGGTTTTGAGTGTAATTCGGAGTCACCCTGAACAAGCGCCTGATATACCCCAATGACCCGTCATATCGCTTTTAAAATTTCTCCTCAATGTCAGCGTTTTTGATACTGTTCATGCTGTCCACCCTTCACCCCGGATGGGCTGCAGACGTCTCTTACATTATTATCATGCTGATATTAAGATACAAACACTAAAAATGCTATAAACAGCCCCGCGGACTCCGAGCTAAATCCTGGTTTTCGTTGTTGTGAATTATCGGCTTTTTAAGCTATTCCTGCTCAAACAACAACCACAAGAATAATAATATTCAGAGATTTCTGCAGCTCAAGCCAGGTTGAAAGGTGGACCGCATGTGCAGTATCAGAAATGGTGACGTTCAAGAGCAAATTTAAAAGTAATATGACAGGTTCTTGGGGTATATCAGGTGCTTGTTCATGGTGACCTCAAATTACGCTCAAGAACTGTGTAACCATGGTGTTGGTCGAAAATTAGCGATCATTGGGGAGCTGAAGGAACACCGTTCCCATAATTCCTTGAGTGCGGGCCGGGGCGCTTGGGAATACTGCAAATTGTCTATTGCACACTTGTCTTGGTTCTCTCACGCGGAAATCTAGCTATTG